GTTTGTTTGTTTGTTTGTTTGTTTGTTTGTTTGTTTGTTTGTTTGTTTGTTTGTTTGTTTGTTTGTTTGTTTGTTTGTTTGTTTGTTTGTTTGTTCGCTTGTTCGCTTGTTCGCTTGTTCGCTTGTTCGCTTGTTCGCTTGCTTGCTTGTTTGCTTGTTTGCTTGTTTGCTTGTTTGCTTGTTTGCTTGTTTGCTTGTTCGCTTGTTCGCTTGTTTGCTTGTTTGCTTGTTTGCTTGCTTGCTTGTTCGCTTGTTCGCTTGTTCGCTTGTTTGCTTGTTTGCTTGTTTGCTTGTTCGCTTGTTCGCTTGTTCGCTTGTTCGCTTGTTTGCTTGTTTGCTTGTTTGCTTGCTTGCTTGCAGTACATACCTTAGTTTATCATTGGCTTGTTTTGGTTGTGTTAGTGACGTAACTATATAAGCACCATTATACTATCAAAGTTTCTGTGATCACAGTAGGAATTTTGCATAGATAATTCTCAATTTTGAAGGGTTTGTAAAAAAGTATTTGAAGGAACTGACTGACTGTTTTACACTGAGTCAGCAGTTCCTTCAAACGTTTCTTACAAATTCTTCAAAACTTAGAATTTACCTATGCAAAATTCCTACTGTGATCACAGAAACTTTGATAGTATAAACCAGGCTTATGGCTTATAGTTATTTTGTTTTTGTTTGTTTGCCTGTTTGTTTGTTTGCTTGTTTGTTTGTTAGTATGGCTTTACAGCACAAATTGACTGGCAATTGACCTCAAAAGGGACTTCGTGTCCTATCGTCATTCTCAGACTTGTATAGTTTATTTTAAAACTATATATATAGTGGGGGAAATCTTCAATGGAACGATTTAAATAGTTGACCTTGAATCGAAGCCTGAAGGACATGTTTAATGTTTAACGCAGCAGTGAGGTGCTTTAGAAATTATCTTAAAGTATTTGCCACCAACCTGGCTAACGACAGACGCGACGCGTGGGTCTTGCGCACTTTTGAAGTAAAATATTTTCACATTGTAGCAGTTAAATGCATACACATTTCAGTAGAATTCATGCCCGTTTGAAAACGAATCTTCTGGCAACATTTTTTGCATTTTGTGTTTGGGGTGGTGGCGATGTGAGTGGCACGTGTCTTTCAACAACAATTTTGCCTCTGTCGCATGCGTGAAGAGTGCTTTCAGTTTGACTTTTCGTTTATATTCAAATATAAAACGTGTAAGACAAAGGCAACTTATCTAAAATGAACAATTTGCATGCGAATAACTGGAAAACAATTTGAAAATCCATAGAAGGCCATAGAATGGAAATTGTATGGACCTTTATTGAATAGAATGGATTTTGATTATTCATAATAATTGTATATTTGAGTATATTTCCATACTATCGATATAGTATGGAAATAGTATGGATATACTATAGATTTAGTGGTGCAATTGTGAATTTCATAGTATGGATTTCACATTTTTCCCAGTGGAAGCTAAACGGTGTGATTAATTAGTTGTCTGTACCCATTGAAATATCGTGGGTCACTGAGCCTGCAAACATGTGAAACATTGACCAGTAATTTCCTGACCCTGCCTCAGGCTTCTCTGCGTAGCCTTCCATTGGTGGCGTTGCACTAGCCTGCGTGGCAGTCGCTTTATTTTATTGAAGGTTTTAAGGATTTTTGAATAAATGGCGGGTTACGGAAAAAATGGGGGAAGAAAAAGGGTTCCTTCGCCCGTTTTTTCTCGCCCTTTTTTTTCTTCGCTAGTATTGCACGTGCATGACAACCGGAGTACTTGGAAGTACTCTTCTGACATGCAACAGTGAAAATATAGAGGTTCAGATTTGACTTTATGAATGGACAAAATGGCGAAAAATATTTCAAGAAAATCATCGCAAAAAACAGGAAGAAATCAACCATTACCAAGTCCAGAAAAAGCAGAAACATCTCGGAAACAACTG